CCAAAATTTTGAGTTTAGAAGAAGTTACCGCTACGTTTTCAAATTTCAAATTCTCTCAGACCCGATTCCCAATGAAGCCCACCTAGTTTCCGATCTATGCTAGGCTGCCGGATCTGTCACCTCCTCCGCCGCAACCACTTTTCCGACATGGGTATCTTCTGACAAACTCGTTCTTGTGTGTCTCGGGGCTTTCCAAACTCCCCCGTGAAAATTCCGTTTGTGGCTTATCCATGGCTGTTACGGCAACACAAATGTGGTTGAGATTGGCTTCAAATTCTGATCGGGTGATATCGGAACACATGCTCTCTCTTGGCGAGGACTGGTCCGGAGCAGCTGAACCGTCCACACCCACCAGAACCGCCTGATCCTCCGGACCCTCCGGATATAACCTCGACTCCTTCACCTTCGTCCACCGCTACCAAAACCTACACCCGCCTCTCTACGCCGGAAAGCTGACCAGATCCAAACGGCACCGGATCTGGAAGATCTAGGGTTGGCTCGCGCCGTTGATCACCGTCGAGTTGTGCTTCATTCCATCACTCGTCGAGAGCCATATCTCCAAGTATGAGAGGGCCAAAGTTTTCTGGATTCTCAAATCCTGTAATTTACTCTCGGAGGAAGAGTTCAATTCCACCATCTTCCATCTCTTTGAGCATGGTCGTATTTTTTTCCCTTTCATGGAGAGTGGTCGAACCCCCGTGCTTTATGCCGGGAATTTTAAAGTCACATGGTAAAGTGACTAACCTGAGAATCTCCGGCTTTGCCGCGAAGACCCTCTTGACGCATCCGAGGCATGTTTTGGATATGCTGTCTATCATCTTCTGTGATGATCTATCTACTCTTTATTTTATTGTATTTAAATTATGTTGTATTAATGTGGGAGGATGCTTAATTCCCTCTTTTTGTACTTTGGTCGGTTAAATGAATGAAGTAAAATTGTTGACAAAAAAGAAGAAGTTACCGCTATAATTCATAATATTGATGATAAAGTTGAACACGAGATGACAATACCCAAAGTCTTGTATCATGATTTTTCCCGAAAGAAACATTTACTTTCAATTTTGTACAAAATTTAGTAATTCATTTCTTGGGGCTTCGGCGAAACTTTCAGTTTCTTTCTTCTCTTCTTCTCGGTTTGACTTAATTGTTCGTATATTTTGTATTCGCCTTGATTTAGTTATACCAAACTTTATTTTTTTATTATAGTTTCAAGGAAATTTTGAACTACTTTCTTCTCTTTCATAGTCATGACTTAATTGTTTTTAAATTCCGTAGCTAAAGATGAAAAAAATCTGATGTATAAATACACATACAGGATGCAAAAGTTGATGATCAAGCTCCAGGTTGCAATTACATTCCTTGACATAATCTCTTCCCACTCTCCAAACTTTTTAATTTCTTGAAATGAAGGTTCGTTTTATTTATATTTAAAAAATTAAAATTTTCACATGGAATTTTTTTTATCTACGGTAGGAAGCCAGCGGAAACATACATATATATCATTTTAAAAACAAATATACATATATAGCTGTTACATTATCACTAAAGTAATGAAGATGAATTAAAATCGCTGTGTTTATTATACAGTGATTAATGAACTAAGAAAAAGCTTCAATATTACTTCCATGTTAACGTGCAGGAGAAGGTTGTATTCAAGTTAGACGTTCA